GCAGATTCAAACGACTACAACACTAAAACCCGTCTAGCGCCCACATTTTTAAATATCTACCTACATGCCAAAAATTATTGAAATCGGACCACTTATTAAAAAGTTATAACCAAAGAATAATCAATATTTTGCAATCAATCGAGCATATCTCCAACCCTGTCGCACTCCCTTAGTAAAGGGTATCTAACAGTGGAGGCCATAAACTAAAGCAATTTCTCTAGTTTTTTCTTCAGCTGATAGAGATGTCAGATCGCCAAATACAGGTGTACGTCTTCTTTGCTTTGAGCACTTCATTAATCTCAATCGTTAAAATACAATACGAAAATATGAAATACGAATTCGTTTACTTCTTGCGAGTGTGTATTTGTGGGTTTTTTTTTTTAACGGAAAAAGTGGTTTGATTCCGATTAAAATCTATTTTTTATTTAATCATCATTTTCCAATCGGAAAAAATTGATTTTAATTTACAAACAAATTTATTTGGCTGCTAAGTGATTCAAAATGCTTAAATCAATTGAAAAGAAATGTATACGTAGCTAACGGGTTTTCCTCAGACATGTCCATAAATAATAATAATTTAAATCGTTTTAAAAAGAATGATAATAACGACTAGGCACAGGGACAATGGTGTAATATTGCAAAGGAGGTGAAATGGAGTAAACGAAATGGGGTATAGGGATTACGGCGAAGAGAAAGAAAGAGGCAAATATATATTATTGGTTAATTTAGTGTTAAATCCGCGGAATTAAAAATTGTACATTTTTTTAAATTATTTAAATTTATTATAATAATTTTAAGATGGCAAAATGGTGTTAAAATCCTTCCTACCACTTTTAAGAACAGTTTCTTAAAAAGGGACAAGGTGTTCCTATGGCAGATACATGATATAGTAGTCCGATTTGTATACCCGTTACTCGTAGAGTAAAATATTTGTCGGAAAGTGTGTAACAGGTAAAAGACAGCGTTTCCGACCCTATAACTTATATAAGTTAAAAGATGGTTTACATTTTTGTTAAAAAACTTTTTTATTGAGTTGGATTAAAACTAACTTTACTTAGGTTTACCAATTGCTATTTATAACAGCGCGTTGCTCCATCGCTGCCTCTGTCCCTGCCGATGTTGTCGATTCTATATAAATGAGGTCATTACCATTTGTGGCTATTTTCACCCGTTACTCAGCTAAAGGGACCAAAGGGAGATGGAGATATGGAAGCAGGAAAGCGAGATTATAATGCGCCACCTAACCGCGATCTCAATTTATGGTTATGTGGGCGGCAGTCAGATTTAAGCGTTATGGGCGTTAAACATTTTTTACTAGCATTACTAGCGGTTTATGGGCGTTAGAGTGGGTGTGGCATATTGGCGTGACAAACTGGCGTTGCGTACAAGGGTACGGAATCTAAATCTGAAATCCCAGCTCTCTTTCTATGATAGTTTCCGAGATGTCATCTTTCATATTTGCGATTTATTAAGTTTGTGGTCGTTAAATTGGGCGTGGAAATTGGATGGCGTGCTACCCCACTGACGATGATGGGCATACCGTTTCCAGGGCTACCCCTGTCTTTAGGAGCCAACTTCTGGCGTCTCCTTTATACACGCGCACCACTACATTCTCCAGCCTGTAGAACGCGCGGCCCTCAGTTGCCTTCAGCATGTTGCTGTATTCAAATTTTTGAGACTGGACGTAGTAAAAAAACTAAAATGTTGGGTTCAAACGACTTCCGTTTTTTATATTGAAAAATTCCATTCTACGCGACCCAGCTACATTTAGTTAGTTTATGCTATTATTATGAACGAATCCTAATTAACCATGGTAGACAATGTAAGACACCAAGGTCGTCCACATGCGTTACCCTATCTAACAAAAGACCACTTGGTGTACTGACACGAAAAAAGGTGATTACATTGCACTTAGAGCCAATTAAATTTAATTGATTGATATTGCACCATGTTTGAAATGCATGTGCGGATGGTTAAACCTCCAGCCTCACACTTACTTTATATATACTCGTATATCTGTTTCTTTATATTTATGGGACTACCCATGAATCTCAGCCATTGAAGGCGAACTTTTTTGTTAAGTTTCCACCAGAGCTCGCAAATAACTGTCGACCGTTTCTCGACTCTTTACTAAAAGACTCAGAGAGCAACCGATCTATGGGTTCTTGAATGAGCTCGCTTGCGATCAGAGCGAAACCGTTTTTTTTTTCTGTTCTGTTTTGTTCTGGTTGTCCCAATTCCGTTTTGTCGTGTTCACCCTGCAGTACCATTCAGCGCTTATTGAGTACTCAATCACTGAGCGCTCAATGAGCGCACAATTTCTATGAAAATGAGAGCTTAAATTAACATAGGCTTGTCCTAGGGTTCATCAGTGCTCAAAAACTAGAGCACGTTGAACGCTCGTTTAAGCAGCAGAAAAAGCACACGTCCAGCACACGTTGAGCGCTCGTTTAAGCAGCAAAAAAGCACATGTTAGGCACCTTTTCATCGCGTATCAGCAAATATATTTACAGTTTTATTTAATTTCTATATATATTTTTTTTATTTATTTAGATCTTTATTTTAAAATGTTGGGTCGGGGGTTCCCGGTCCTAACGGAGTCGTTGGCACCTCCTCGCCAGCATTTGGGGCCGGCGTTGCCTTTTTTTTGGTGCAGCTCAAATTCTTCACGCACCGCATTGCCTTCTGCAGCGCCTTTTTGGGAGGCTCCGAGGGCTCCACCAGAGCGATTGCATCTAGTATTAGAAGAAAAATTAGTTTTGAAAATAGAACGAGACGAGAATAAAAACGAGTGACCGAAAGTAATCGTTATTTGTAAGTTTTATTTATAATAAAGAAAATGTTATCTTTGGCATTAAAAGAAAATCACAGAAGTCTTTTAAAAATTAAACTTACAAATAAACTTAAGCCTAAATTTTAGAAAACAAGAGAAGAAATTCTGAAATTTTTGTTTTCGGTCACTCGATTTCATATATTTTTTTGTAAAAAATTATAAAGAAAAACATACCACACATTATTTATATATCTTTGTATTACTTATTAGTTTTTTTTATTTCGCATTTGCGGGAAAACTAACACTTTTCCAGGGACTAAAAGTTGAGACTTTTATTTAAGTAGCCATGTTTGCTAACGTACATAAAAGTATAAGCTGTGGTTTAATGTTATTAATATTCATTTTTAACGAATTTTAACCACAAACATAATTTTTAAAAACAAACTTTTCTTATTTTTGATCTCTAGGAACTATGCATTCAATAAGATTTTACAATTCTTTCACAGATTCATTTATTTGTTTATTTACATATATGCATCATTTCTTGTTTTTTTCACGTCAAAAATTTATATTTTTCACAGCTACTTTTTGGGAGTCTTTTATTTTCCTTTGTTTTAATATACATACATTAACTTGTTTTTATTCTCACTTTTTATCATAGCTTCCATGAATTTCTTAAAGGCAATAAAATTATACCATGGAATTTAAAATCTAGACATAGTCGAAATGTAAAAATTTAAATTGTAATATAACAAACGTAGCTTAAGGCCACAGTAGCTATAGCTACAATGAAAAGCATAGGCTATAGGTAATTTCTCAATTGCCTTTTAGCCTGAGAATAAATAAATAAATAAAATACTCTCACTTTTTAAATAAATATTGGTCTGCGACAGACTTTCCTGCGAATCGTATTGGTACCACTTTTAAACCACTGGTTTATTTTATTTAACTACGTTCATTGCGGGTAATTCTAACTCCTTCACATAAGTAAACGCAAGTGAAAAAGACGAAAAAAGGCGCGAGTTACGTATAACCCCACTTCACTTCCCACATATGTCCAAAACCCAATTTCTTCTTTACCACCTCTTAATAATAAAGTACAAGAATTGCTTAACTCATTAAATGCTAAATAAACAATATATTAAAGTAATACAGCAAACAGGAAATGCACAGGTTAACGATCTGGCACATGCCAACCAAAATAAGTTCTAAGAAAATATTAAATCCAAATAAGCAATATAACACAGTAAACAGGAAATGCATAGTTCATCGATCGTTATTAAATTCAGGCTAACTAGAGGCCAACGATCTTACACATGTCGACCAGAATAATTCGTAAGAAAACCTAATAAGCACTCCTGTAAACCTAAATTAAGTTTTCTTTAAAACATTATCAATAAAGAATATTCAGTTGATTTTTACCCACCAAACCCGCTTGACGTGTTTTACTTACAAATAATTTATTTTTTTTAAACTTCGCAACTCCTTAAACAAAATTCGCGTGCCTTCCAGAAAAACAACAAGCAACAACAACAACGGTTCCGCTAATCCGTTGCTGCTCTGTTTTTTTGGCATGTCCCGTTTGGTCTATGCACCTTGCTCATAAAAGCAGGGTATTTATTATGTCTATAAAACCGACTATGCAAATCGTAAATACAAATATATATTTTTAAAACTTCACATATTAATAAATAATATTAATAAACATATACATTTTTTTTAAGAAATACAAATATTTTAAAACCCAAACCTATTATTTTAATTGGTTGTATTTACATTTACGAAAGAATGTCGCATTATTTTAAGGGCAAGGGTGCACAAAAGTCTAGCTATTTTAATTGCTGGGCCTCCTTGCCTTCCCAGTCGTAAATGACAGCATTCCAGCATGCGTTCTTTCATTATGAAATGGCATCAAAAAGGTGTTCCGGAAGTGATGAGTCTGTCCATTCTTTTTACACGGGTGCGGGACAAAAAATAATGCACCCGTTGCATGCTTCTGGAAGCATATATCTGGAATGCACCTGGAAGTAACAAACTAAACACATTCTGGGTGTACTCTTTTTTAATGCACCTGGAAGCAACATACTAAACACCTTCTGGGTGTATTCTTTTTTAATGCACCTGGAAGCAACATAGTAAACACATTCTGGGTGTATTCTTTTTTAATGCACCTGTAACATGGACCCAGGAATGCACCTAATTTTCCCCAGGAATACATAAAACTGGATTTCAATTTCATATTTATTTTCATTTCAATATTCAAGAACGCAACTAATTTTTAATCGGAGTAACTCCCCTTCTGTACGGTGCTTTGGTGCTTCCTTCTTGTTTATGTACTTTTGTCATTTACGCAGTTCAGTCCTTGGTGTGCCCATTCATTTTTTGCGATTCTGAAAAATATAAAGCAAATTGAATATTATATATTTTGAAATATGTGTATATCCATTACAAATATACAATATGTTTATTTTGTATGTACAATTTACACACAAATAGTTATTATTTTATTTGTTTAATATGTTTTTAGTTTGAATGTTCAGTGTACATGTACTGTGTTATTTTATTGTGTTCATATTGAACTAAATTATCTACACTTTACTTACCTGTGAAAATATTGATGTAAAATTGGTGGCAGAAAGCAACAAACTTTTTCAAAACACGTGGCACGAACTTCACTTTTCAGAACTAAAAATGCAACTGACGAGAAATGCAAGAGACAAGAAAAACCGCTCGCTTCCTTGCATGTTCCCTTTTGTCTTTATTATTTGTTTGTCAAGAGAACAGTTCCGAAAAAAGACGATTGTAAAAAAATGGGCATCGGCAACCTTTGGGTTTGAGTTTGGTTTTTTTACATTCCCACTAAAATGCACGTGGACGCACTATATTGAAATACACCCAGATGGCACCCAAAAGACTGCCCCCAGCACGCACATTTTGCTGGGTAAATTTGCATGCGTGCTGTTTTGCGTAAAAAAGATACGACCCAGAACTTTTTCTTTCGGAATATGCTTCTGGATGCATTATTCTGAAAAACTTCTAGAAGGCACCGCAATAGAATGCACCCAGCACGCACATTTGCCTTGGAAAATTTGCATGCGTGCTGTTTTGCGTAAAAAAGGTACGCCCCAGAACTATGTTTTTTTAAAACACGTTCCGCAACTTACGACTGGGTTCACCCGCATTTTTCCAGCTGAGACATAACGAGAGAGGGAGAGCCCAAAAGTACTTCTTGTGCGTTCTCTTTGCGGACCCCGACTGAGAGAGCGTCTCTTTGCCGCTGCTCGTGATGATTGGAGGCTTATTCTTAATTGTGGAACTGCAGGGCAGTGAAGCAAAAGGTCTTTTGCGTATGTATTGGTTTACATTCACACGCATAGGCAAGCAAATCGTTAAGCGTCTGCTTTGCAGACGAAATATATTAATTGCGATCGTAAATTGAAATATTTGAAAATAAATTTAAATTGTTTTATTAAAGAAATTATATTATTTCTTTTTTACAACAACGGAAGTAAATGTCAAGACCGTTTGCTTTGAAATTTTCGGTCAATCGGTCTTTTGCTGACCCTTATTATGCGAGCGTTTCTCGTTCCGCTCTTTACGGAATGCTCGTTGAAAGAGCGACATACAAAGAGCTCAACGAAAAGTGCTCATCAGAAAACATAAATGAAGGCAGCAAGAGGCTCTTGCTCAGAGCGAGAGCGAGAGAGTATGACCTTTTCGGTTAACAGTTATTTGCGAGCTAAGGTTTCCACTATTAAATACATTAAGCTAAAATCTAAGCCAACATAGTTTTAAATGTTCACGCGCACCAGAGATACCAACATTGCTTTTAAATAACTGTGCAAGGGGACTATGGGGTAGCATTGCAAAGGAGCAAAGCAAAAAGGTAATAGGGGGAAGGGTGATAACGGTTTAGTTTATTGAGTGTTAAGTCCGAGGAATTAAAAAATGTACCTTTTAATAATTTATTTTACCATTTTAAAATGTTGTTAAAATCTGTCCTACCACTTTTAGGAACAGTATCTTAACCGCAAAGTCGGGGCGAGAAAGCTAGTTTGTAATAATTGCTTTTAGAACAAATTTTCTTGGTGATTGATTTTAATAAAGCGTTCAATTCTGTAAACCACGTGATACTATTCCAGAAATTAGAACTACAAGAGTATTTAAATTTTTTTTCAGAACACTCTTTAATACGTAATCTGAGTTACTTTAGATCAGTGGTCGGCAGCGGCCTATCTAGTGAGCATAGGGAAGTGTTCTGCCCATCCTCTGCTCGCTCACGTATAACGTACATGTTCGTGTGACTTCGGCATGGGTCTTCGGGTCATTTTTGTCTCAACTTCGGCGCGCTTTTTTGTTGCTGCGGCAGAGGATCTCAGTGCAAAGCAGAGAAACGTCTCGCTTCAGCACGCCGCGCGCAAACTTCGTGTTTGTTACACTCACACTAATGCAAGGCAAACTTGTGATGGTATGTGTGTGCCGACCACTGCTTTAGATGTACCACAAGGAAGTTACTTTGGTCCGATCCCTTTTACATTATGTACGCAAATGACTTTAAGTTATTCCTGTGATATAAAGAGCTCGCAGAGCTTAGCTTTACAATATGATCTAATGAATGTAAGGACCTTTCCTAGGCCAGGGACCGGCCAGCGCAACTCGATTACCCAAAGGATATAAAGCCGTCCGTTTCCGTATAATGGCGTGTACCATGTCCGCGTGGGAGGCCGGAAGGGATCCTTTCCAGCGCTGCTTAAAAGCGCAACACGGCAACGTAGCTGACACAAGCACCGCTCAGAAACCCACATAGACCCGAAAGAGGGTGGCCGAAATGGATCCTTTCTAGCGCGTCTCGTGGACAGTCAGGCCGCCGCGTTGCGCAGAGAAAGCTGCTCGCAAGCGCAACACGGTAACCCGGCTGACACGAGACACCGCACAAGGCTCCATATTCCCTCTTACTTAGACCCGTGGATGTTTCTCTTCCTTCTCATTCAGCTATTCTTACCCTCGCACTCAGACTAGTTACTGGATTTTACTAATTTACTTCGGGGAGCCTTTATTTGACGCTCCATGAGTGTAGGTCTCTCCACCTCCAGCGCCGAAAAAGAGAAATACCTCGAGGTGGCCGTTCATGCTGACCAATACTAGGAGTTTCAGCTGCGCGCAAGGCAAAGCAATTATTACAAACTAGTTTTCTCGCCGCGACTTTGCGGTTAAGATACTGATCCTAAAAGTGGTAGGACAGATTTTAACAACATTTTAAAATGGTAAAATAAATTATTAAAAGGTACATTTTTTAATTCCTCGGACTTAACACTCAATAAACTAAACCGTTATCACCCTTCCCCTTATCACCTTTTTGCTTTGCTCCTTTGCAATGTTACCCCATAGTCCCCTTGCCCAGGTCTCCTGTGATCATTTTTTGTTGTTTAGCTTTAAGCAACTCGTCGTTATTAAAACGACTTAAATTATTATTATTTATGGACATGTCTGTGAAAAACCCGTAAGTTACGTATACATTTCTGTTCAATTGATTTAAGCATTTTGAATGCACTTTGGAGCCAAATAAATTTGTTTGTGAATTAAAATCAATTTTTCCGATTAAATGGAAATTTATGGTTAAATAAAATTTAGATTTTAATTAAAAACAAACAACGTTTTCCGTTTAAAAAAAAATACCCACAAATACACGCTCGCATATTAGGTGTCAACGCCAATCGTAAGAAGTAAACAAATCCGACCTGTTCCTAATAGGATTTTTCTTTACTAACCGGCAATTGAAATTAGTTTTTGTAATTTTTTTTTAACGACTTCGGTTTATGAAATTCTGAAAGCAATCAAACCACCCGTTTTAAATATAATATATAATATTATTATTACCCGTTTGGCATCTCTATCAGCTGAGAATAAATAAATGCATGAATTTGATTTTACGCATTCAAGATATCACGCAATTTTTTTTAACATGCCGCTTCTCCACTTAGCGGCAATCCAGTTCAGTCGTATTTTATTTTACGAATGCCATTTATGAAGTTATCAAAGCAAAGAAGTCAGTACATCTGTTTTTGGTCATCTGGCCTCTCTATCAGCTGAGAAAAAATAAATAAATGAATTCGGCTGTGTCGCATAAAAACGTTCAATGTTAAGTAATTTTTTTTTTATTAATTTCTTAAACAAATATACTAACCTTCTTTACATATGAAAACAAACTTTCACACACACCATATAAGCAAAATATGATGTATGTATGTATGTATGTTTCTTTGCTTACATTGCAAAAAGTACAAACTCGGTTTCGCAAAAATGCTACTTATCAAAAAAAATTCTTTTCGCTGAACAAAGGTTTTTTTGTAATCAATTTTGATATTTTAAAGCCAAAGAACGATTGTTTTTACATGGAAAAAGTACATTTTTCGTTCAAACTTCTGCTATTTTCGCTGTAATCGACATTCTTCAGCGACGAGACACAAATAAACTAACGAAATGTTTTTAAATTTTCGATTTCAGATTAACCGTTCTGGAAATATTTTTTTTTATAAAATATTCCCAGAAATCGACATTTTTTTTCGTTATACAAGTGTACTAACAAAACCCCTTAAGGTTTTTACATAGATTCCTACTGCAACATTAAAAAAACTAAGTCCGCCACATGCACGTTATAGTTACGTTTCGTTTCAAATTGTAACTATTCTGCAAATGTGCCCCTTTTGTGGAATTGCTTCCTGTCGGTGAAATCCCACAATAAAGGACATAAGCTTGGATTTGGCGTCCTATTTGACCTGCACTAACCTCCTGCATCCGATTTTCGGGTTTTCCTTCCATTTTTAATTTTTAGTTTCCACATCGCCTTTGCACGAACACCGCCATTAAATTTCTTATTCATTGGGCCGCGGCTAACGCCGTTCATCGAAAATTCACTCGCGAAATCTGGTATTTTTTCTGGTATTTTTTTTAGCTTAAACAGACCCGACGAAAAGCGTTAGCCGCATATTTGCCTCTTGCTCACTCCTATGGTTAGTTCGCGGTTTTCGTCGATCTGAGTACTAGGCTTAAAGCACAAACCCAGTAATGAATCATTGACATGGCGGAAAAAGTCAAATAAATAAAAACAATTAAGAACAAAATAAAATAGGAAGAAACCAAAAATAAAAACATTTTTACCTTTACCTAGGTACTGGGAATATTTTATACCTTTACCTTACCTAGATAAAAACGGAAGTACCTTCACCAACACTGGCATACGTATAACTAGTATTCGTAGTAGTATAGTTATAAGCAGCATTTTTAATGAAGTGCAACTACATTTAATGGCAAGTCTTAATGCTGAAATATTTTTTATGATTATAAAATTCTTTATTGTTATACTCAGAAATCGGGGTTCATATATATTCTGTATCCTCATTTTCGTCGACAAACATTTATACATCGATAATTGCACTAAAGACTCTGTTCCCTGCTTGCATTTGAAAAAATATAGTTTTTGGTGGTTGGATTGGGTTTGGTTGGTTGTCGGCTGTATAAAAGCGCACTCTTAAACTCAGGCATACTCGCGCCTCGTGGAGCTATGAAATGAATCCTGAAAAACGGTCACCATTTCACGGCCGTCTGAGACATATTGTTTACCATAATTTCACACCCAACAGGTTCCATCTCGTCTTGTGACAGCGGTTACGTGCACCAGCAGCATCATTATCACTTGCAGTACCAGCAGCCACAGTGCAGCTCGCAAAACGAGCCATCCCCACCGGTCTATACTGCAGCCGACTGCCGGTTGCTGCAGCAAATATCGAAAAACGCGGTCACCCTCAACATGAACAGTCCATGTCAGGGCACAAGTACTCCACCCAGCACACTCACACCCCGACCGACCAAGCCCATAGCTGCCATTCAGCTTTCTAGACCGCCGACGGCAACAGCATACATGCACATCCGCAGCCAATATCAGCAGCTCCAGCAACAGCAGTTATTGGCCATGCCACCTCCGCCTCCACCGCTATACAATTTGCCTCCCCTGGCTTGTCTCTACAGCCCCCACCAAGACAATACTGGCAGTAGACACCTAAACCACATGCATGGTAAGCTGAACTGAAACCAATACCAGATCGGTATCCAGTAAAAAAGCAAATGCAAAGCGGGAGTCGAGTCAGGTCTTTCTAAAAAGGGCGATACTGGGACTTGGGATATTTTTCACAAATTGACCTTGAAAAGGCTAATGATCAACACCACCTTTTTATTCTCTTATTTGTTTTACAGATAGCCCGCCAAATTTTATGGATAGCACCAAGTGTACCATATGCCCCATGCCACCCATGAATCAATAATAAATCAACATGATTGACCTGCTACATTCGTATTTAATTAATTGTAAGTACGCCGTTTTTGTTTCACAGGGTTTTAGAACACTGCATTAAGTTTTGAGCAACATTATTGAATACTATTTTAGGAATA